GCAAGCTGTTTTTGTAAGGGTGAAAAAAACCACTGCCAGCTTTTAATGTCAAATTAATTAAATGTATTATGTCCCTTCTGGACAAATTACCGTTGGTATTCAGCAGCTAGCTCTTGATGAGCTACCAAATCAATTTTGATATCTGGGTGTGTACTCCACTCCAGTAATGGGAACTAGAGGATGGGAAAAATGGTAAGAGTTTTACAGACTGTACACTCCTGTGAAAAGCTACTGTGTGTACAGCTGAGGTTCTTTCATTTGTTTGTTTCAAGGCAAGCTTGAACCACCACACCCACCATATACTGAAGTAAGGAGTAATTGCTTGAGAGTGTCTTGTGGACCTAGCTTCAGGTACAGCCTGTTCATCTAAGGCTCTTTCCTGCACAGTGACAGTGATGTCCTGTGCCACCCTCTTGCATTATCCATGTATGTTATATGCACTGATTTAATCTCACTAAAAGCATTTTCTGTTGTTACTCAGCAGATAGTTTTAGGATCTTGTGTTACAAATAGCTGGAGGCTCAATCAGCATGCTTTCAGCTTTAGCTTTTTTTCTTTTTTTTTTTTTTTCCAGAGTGAGTTAATCACTTTGAGTATTGAATCTTGAAGAGGTGATTTATTTCACTGTAATTTTATAGGACATCTACATATAAAATGTACTTGAAGTCTGTTATGTCTGAGAGAAGTGATTTTTTTACCTACCTAAATTTGAATGCAGATGTTAAAATTGCATGAAAAATTAGACGTGATACATAGCTGGTGCCTAAAACTTACTGTAATGCCTAATTGCTGAATTCAAATAGACTGGTTGTATATTTTGTAGTACAAAACTAGAGAGTGCAATAACAATTTTTCTTGCCATGGACAGGAAGTTGCTTCTACTAAATTGCTGCTGTCTAGCTTTTCAGATGTGAAAAGAGGTGAGGAGGGATTACAGAAGCATGGCTTTCTTCTGTGATTAGGTATGCAAAACAGTCATTCAGCACTTGCGTGTAGGGGCAAGGATTAATTGACATAGAAAATAATATTTGACAGAAGCTATGGTCTGTCTGAGAAATGGATCTTATTTGCTACATTATGCTGCAGTTGCTCTGTAGAGATGCTCAGTTTTCAGGAATATCTGGTGTCACCTCAAACTGTAGGCTGTGCTTCAATATGAAGATAAGGTGTATCTTGCATGGAGAGGGCAGAAGCTGAAGTGTGATTGTTCACACTTGTTGAAACAAACAGTTCTGAAGGCACGGCAATATTTTTCTTCTAATTAAGACTTTTAAAGTCAGAATATACACATTGCATGGTATAACACAGTACAGTTTAGCTGTGTTTTGCAGTCTTCTCTGTGATGACCTACACTATGTAGATTGAAGTATTTAATGATGTATCCAGGACTGACTCCTGGAAAAGCCCAGAACAGAGAAGAGATAATTAATTATTGCATATGGTACATAATCATATCTACACTAAATCGAGTATTTCAGTAGGAAAACAATACAAAATGGCAAAAATGAGAATTTTCTTTACATCTTAATTTTTACATCTTAATTTTTTTAAGAAAAATTTACATTTTTCTGAAACATCCAAATAACAAGAAGTTGCTTGGCACTGCTTCCTGATTCTGTGTGGCTGGCTGCTGGAGAAGAGGAGAAGTTGCAACACAGAAATTGCCAACTAGTGGCTTAAACAAGAAGACACTTTGGTTTTGCTACATTTATCTGCAGCTTCCATGGGAATGACCCCATTTGTGTTAGGGTAATTGCCCAGGCTTAAATGATAGCAGTGGTTCCTAAACACAAAGAGTGTTTGTGTTTATAATCAGCACTTACAGATAGGGCTATTGTCTGAGATGAAAATCTGTATATCAGACATGCAGTCTCTGTGAACACTAGGCAGTAAAGTCTTTCTGAAAGAGTTAGAGTGAATTGCTGGTAGAGCAAATCAACCCACAGAATCTTCAGTCTTAGCCTTGAAACAAAATAAATAGATCTCCAGTACCTCAAGAAGTATAACAAAAATTATTTCAGATAAAAGGTAGAAATTGGTTTAAAATGCGTATTTTTGCTCAGAGGGGGCTAATACCTAAACAATAACCATAATGGCTTTTTGTAACAGATTTGGTTTTTTAATCAGCACCCATTTCATCATATTAAAATATGCAGCTCACTCAGGATGAAATTCAATCATTTCCAGAAAAGCTCCTGTAGAGGAGTGGGGGCCACGAGGGAAGTAAAATTCAGTGCTTTCCTCTGCGCTAGACTACAGAAACTGAATGATACATAGAAAACAGATCCATACACATGCATAAATCATACATATCTTACACTGTGACCTGCATTTCCTGCCTCATGTCTGTGTGCTGCCAGACATTCCTTGAATATCAACAGAGACTTGCATTTTTGTGCATACTGTCCAACAGGCTGTCCAAGGTCCTATTTACACTTCAGGGGGGAAAATTCAAGTATGTCTTTGAAGAGCAGTGCTTTCAGACTGAAAGGGGCTTGATAGACCATTGTTCAAATACCTATATTCACATACTGATTTTTAGAGATATTGGGCATAAAATGACTTCCTTGAGAATGTCAAGGACTTGGTAAATTATTGCTTGTGAACACCTGTACTTTCAGCCAAGCATGTGTGCTCTTGATTGCTTTGTCATGGCTAGAATTCAATACTTGTGAAAGGGATGGGGAAATATTAAGACCACACAGGGACATTTAGTCATTGAATACCATTCAATGGAGAAATGTGGTAAGGAGCAAAAGGTTAATTTATGTGTTCTGACTCATCATCCTGAGGAGCTGCTCTCTCTCTTCACTGATCAGAAAAAGCTGCAGTGCACTATATAAGCAAACTGAGCCTTTAGTTGATGTGAATTTTCCTCCGTAAATACGTCTGTGGATGACTATCATAACTGTCAGGTAAATGTTTGTAATTCCTAGTCTTTGGGTAAGAGAAATGGAAGTGGAACTTGTTGCCTTACCTTGTGTTCAGGAAGAAGACTGCATTTGATTGAATAAAGCACTTATGTGAGCCAGTGTAAGTGTAGAATAGTACCTATAAAATCCTGTAGTCATTTTCTAATGCCTGCTAATATTTTGCTTAGATCCACATTGTTCAATGTATTTTCAGCATGTTAGGTCACAAAAAAGGGTGTGAAGGACTACTTTTCAATTTCATTAAAAAAACCCCTGAAAACAACAAAAAAGCCACCAAAAAACCTAACTGAGGTCTTTGGAAGCTTTCTGGCCCACAATTGCTAGTCTGATTTCAAACTGTGAAAGTGAAATTCTACAGCAGTGAGTTCTGCAAGGGAAAAAACCCACAAAACTAATTGTGAAAGGTTAGTGCATGGCCAACAATGTCTATATATTTTTGTGATGAAGGTTTAAAGATAAGTAGAAAAAAAGCACATTAAAAAAGTTGTTTCATTTTAAAGAGATCTATGAAAGAGCATGGCACATTTTCTTTTAGAGCGGGAAATTTTCTTAAGCAAGAAAACTTTCTATGCTCACCCCTTATAAAAAGGGAATCCTTTAATAACTGCAGCATAAAGTAACTTTCTAAGAATCCTAAAGGATATCCTACAGTGAGATACTTGGTTTATAGTAAACTGCTTTTGCTGTTGAATACCTTTACAGAGAAGCTATGTGTTGCTTTAGATTCTGTTACTCTTAGTTGTCTTCCTAAAATCCATGTTGCTGGTCCTTCTGTGCTATTGTTAATTTATCTTCAATAAATGTTTATCCTTTTTTCAAAGTGAGATCAGGTTCTTGCTGAGTATAAAGTAGTTGTTCTCTCTTTGGTAGTGAAATCTGCACAGTTAACCTTAGAGCTGTATACATGCACGTTATGGCACATGTGAATGTACTTGGGGAACTTAAGTGCTGTGCAGATTCATGAAAAAATATTTCTACTTTGTATTAGATAAAATCTATACAGATTTAGACACAGATATCTGTATAATCTAACAGAATGCTGTGAAATACACCCTTTTCTTGTTTAAGAGCCTGAACTGATGACTGACTCATAACAGATTTCAGGTGTCTGGCAGTTGCCTGATGGGCAATTTGGTTTTTGATCAAGTGTTACAGATCACTGAAATAGAAATCCTTATATTCTAATCAAGACAGAAATGCCTTGCCTTCATGAAATTATAAAGGTGTCTGGATAGCATAATAGCAAGAGCTGAAGATAATGTGTGATTTCTGTTAAAACATATTAATTATTGTGTACTGGGTTTGAGATGGACAGTAAAGGAATAGAATGCATAAATAAATAAGGACTGATGTTTTTATGAAAGCAGCAAGATAGAAAAGGACACTCAAAATAACTAAATATCTTTCAGATAGGACACCTTCAGCAATGTAATGCTTTGCCTTCCTGGTTCTTCTTGGAATGCAAAGACTTCCAGGATATCTTGAAATAAATTGGAATTATTCTAGTCATTTTGTTCACATTAAAGGTGCACATCTCTGATTTCAGTTGCTGAAGGCTTTCTTTAATCTCAATCTCAACTCTCAATTCACTAAATTTCTAAGATATGTTTTTAATTGCTGATTATCTCAATTTTATATGATAGCTTTTTCTTTTAAAAACCCCAAACAGCCAAAGGAAACCACAAACTCCAAAGGAACGTATAAAAACAACAAACCCTACAATATCTGCCAGCAGGAAAAACCCCAAACCTTGAACCATGATACCTCAATAATATTTAGGAAGAAGTATTGGCTTGGTCTCTTTTTCCCTTGTCCCACTTAGCCATTGTACATCACAGATCAGATGTTAGCATCCTACTCTGAGTAGTTTGAAGTGGATGATTCTACTTGGCATAGTAGTTAGTAAGTAATGCATGGAAAAACTTATTGGTGTTTGATTCATAATATGAGCTAGTTCACTTTGAGTTAACCTGCTAGCAAAGGACACATTTATCAGGAGGAGTTCAGTCCATTTTACAGTGGACTATTTATGAATAATCAAATTGATTTTCTTTATTTTTCTTACAGGAATTGTTTCAATTATGACTCTCACTGCTCTTGCCTATGAACGCTACATTCGGGTGGTCCATGCAAAAGTGATTGACTTCTCTTGGTCTTGGCGGGCTATCACATACATCTGGCTGTACTCACTGGCCTGGACTGGAGCACCTCTTTTGGGCTGGAACAGATACACACTGGAGATTCATGGATTGGGCTGCTCAGTGGACTGGAAGTCAAAAGACCCCAATGATACCTCCTTTGTGCTCCTTTTTTTCCTCGGTTGTCTCGTAGCACCTGTTGGGATCATGGCCTATTGCTATGGCCATATTCTGCATGCAGTAAGAATGGTAAGTTAGTGCAAATAAGACTTCCCTTAATGTAATATTATCAGTGAAAAATATTGAAGGTGTATATTTAGGTTGAATCCAAGCCAAATTTACAATTTAATTTCCCTTTTAAACCTTTGAATATTTGATGTTCATCTATGTCAGTTTGTTGGATTGGGAGAGAACCAGCCTACCAAGGTCTATTTTCTTGTGTGGTTTTACTGGGAGGAAGTAAGGAACTGCTTATGCATACTAATCCACATAAGATCCTCACAGGAAAATTCAATCCAGATCCATAATATGAGATTGTGTTAATGATTCATATTATGTGGATAGTTAGTCCAGACCCACTCAAATTTATGGTCAACAGTATTGGCACAATGGACAATTTGTGTGGTATATTCATGTGTATGTTCTATCTTTTCCTTATTTGATGACTCAGGCAATATGGAAACCTGCTGCCTTGTATTCTGCTTTAGAGATTTCATAATTTTAAGGCAACAAACTATGTGAAAAAGCAGAACAAAGAAATCTATTTATGAAATTTCTTTTCTCTAAAGATTTTTTTTCACAAATTAGAGGACTGTCTAACTAGTCAGACAAAGGACCACTAATGTAAACTGATCTTGCTTATGCAAAAACTGAGGGCAAGTTATTTTTCTAACATACTTATAACTGCAGCATACTTTGTAACATTTCTGGATTTGTTGTTTCCTAGTAGATTGGCTATTCCATTTTTTCTCAGCTTGTATTTTTACACTTAATGTAGAGAATAAAAGTCTGAGAAACATGATGTAAACTTCTGGAAGAAATATGGTTTAAAAGATAAGAGATATGGTGTCTGTGCCTTAAACTAAAGAGTGAGTCAGTTACTTATAAGTAAATGTAGAACTATTCAGGTTCAAGTAAAACATAAGGCTATTTTATTTTACTTTTTTTTTTTCTCTACAGCTTCGCTGTGTAGAAGATTTCCAGACAGTTCAAGTGATCAAACTTCTAAGATATGAAAAGAAGGTGGCTAAAATGTGTTTCTTGATGATCTCCACATTTCTTATTTGTTGGATGCCCTATGCAGTGGTCTCCCTCTTGATAACATATGGCTATAGCAACCTTGTAACTCCAACAGTAGCTATCATCCCATCGTTCTTTGCCAAGTCAAGCACTGCTTATAATCCAGTTATCTATATATTCATGAGTAGAAAGGTAGGTACATTAAAGGTTTTCTTGTCTGAATTATTACTAGCCAGTATCACAGTTGTAGAGTGTAGGTCTGATTTACTTTAACCTGAATTTTTTAAAAAACATTTCAACACGGGGTAAATGGGCAAATGGTAACAATTTAGAAGAAATAAAATCCCTGAGGGTGTTTAAATACCACCAGATTAGAAATTTAACTTGCTTATATGTGAATTCAAACATTAAACTCACATGAATGGGATGAGAAAGAGCGTCAGAGTTTAAATGTCTAGTTTTGACAGTTTACCCATTAAAGGGATTGCTGCTACAAGACCTCATCTGATTCACTCCCTTACCACAGTAGAACTCCATCAGAGGAAGTTTAGAATAATCAGTGTCTGTTTTTTAAGAATAAAAAAACTTGCCTCTGACTTCTATGTTATAGCAGCACAAGGACTGAAACTGGATCTGTAGCATACACATTGTAAATTTCTGAAACCAAGAATCTGGTGTTTGATAGAATCCCTTGACAAAGGGTAAAAACCATGAATGATTGCTGGAGGGGTTTTGGTGGGTTTTCCTTACCTTTAAACCCATTATAGAGATGGAATTTTCTGAGATTTCTTATGCTGGCTTGCAGTTGCCAGGCAGTGGCCTGGGCTGGCCGGAAGCCTGCAGGGACAAAGCAGCCAGGCAAAGGTTGAGTGCAGCTCAGGTCAGGACCAAGGGCAAGGGGGAGCTTATATGTTTTCCTGAGTAAAAGCAGGAGGCCTGCAATGTGGCATCTTGCAGTTCTTCCCTCACAAGTCATTTCACAGCAGGCTGATCCACAGTTACGTGGCTGCACAATGTCAGTTACCCTGAAGCTAACTAACAGTAGTCACTGAAGAAAGACTTTTTCAACAGAGTGACTTTTTAAATACACTGGCACTGACTCTGTACCTAATTGTCAGGCTGAGTAACTTACCTGAAAACATTTTGTGGGTTCTGATACCCAGCAACAAATCAAACTTGTACCAAGTATGATGCCAATAAAGACACAGCCAGGATAAGTATCAATGATCTGAACACGATTCTTGGGGAGGCATTGTGAAGTATTTTCTCTTGACTCTAATTCCAGATTAGGACCAATATTATAGTATTTTTGCTTAATTTTTTGGATTATTTTACCCTCAGAAGGAATCATAAAACAAGTTATCTTTAATAGCCTTTCTTTATCTGACCTGGTTCTAACATGCTTGTACTTTCTAACTTCTTTGCTACTCTGATGTAGACCATTACCTCTGAAGTTGTCAAGGCTTCCACATGACCATTCTTTCTCTGAGATTATCCTTCTATGAGATCTTAGCTAGGTTCCTTTCCCAACAGGACAGACCTATTGCCTTCCCTATGTCAGAGCAGGATTAATTTTCCACAGCAAAACCTTGTTCCAATTTGGCATGTCAGATTGCTTCTTGCATGATATCTGGGAAAACAGGCACTGGCTGTGCAGGATAATACAGCGTAATCCTTAACACAGCTAAATGGAAGGCTGATAAAAAAAGGTGTGTAGGACACCTTTTCAGAGAAAAGGTACATTATTTCCCACCTGCTCCCAGATGTTTGTTATGTTTGGGGGTTTTGTTGCTTTTGTTTTGGGGTTTTTTGGTATTTTAGTTGGTTGATTGAAGTCTTCTTTATATGTTCCAGACAAGTCTTGTTACAGGTTATTAAACAAAGGGGAAGTTGCTCTCTTATTTCTTGTAGAACCAGACTTCTTCCCCAATGGATCATATTTGAGCTTTAAATGTGTGCAGACATGGAACTACTGAATGAACACGTCCTTTAACCCTCATACCTGGATCTCTGTTTTGTTGAAGGGGAGACCAAAATTAGAAAATTAATACAGGGCTACTACTCAAATTTCCATTCTATGTGCTGGTGTGAGCTTTCACTGAATACCTCACATTATTTAGTCACACAGTAGAACAGACTTCCTGTGTCACAGGTAGCTGCTAGTCAGCTGAAAGACTTCTGTGCCATCCATATTCATTGGGAACATTTGACTTCTGTGTTACTAACCATTGAAATTTCATTTTAGATCTGTGATACCAAATGCTTTTTAAAAATTCCAGACCCTGGAGTTACTTAAAAGGAGGAAAACATCCTTTTGTATCCCTTTCCTCCCCTTGTTCTTTCCCTCTGTAGCCTCCTGTGAAGTGTTTGTGAGAATATTCTTTCCTGCTGGATCTAATGTGTGATTTTTAAATATGGGAACAAAATCCATAGCACACTTTGGAACCTGGTCTTCTTGTCTTTTGCAGATCTTGTAGCTGGTATTCAGTTGCGTTTCAGTGCCCTCTGTTGGCTTGGTGGTCCTATTCAGATATAGAGGAAAAAAGTACCCACTGCAAAGGCACCGTGTTTTGTTACTGAAACTAGCTCAGAAGATATGCAAAAGTCTCTTATTTTGAGTCATTTACTGTACTGTGCCCTTCACTTGCTTGTAGGTGGTAGTGAACACTTAGGAAGCTGAACATGATTCTGTTTATTCTCTCTTGCAGTTTCGACGCTGCCTTTTGCAACTCCTGTGCTTTCGGCTGATGAGGTTCCAGAGGACAATGAAAGAGACACCAGTAACAGGGAGTGACAAACCAATACGACCGATAGTTATGTCTCAGAAAGCAGGGGACAGGCCAAAGAAGAAAGTGACTTTCAGCTCTTCCTCTGTCATTTTTATTATCACCAGTGATGACACTGAGCAAATAGATGACAGCGGTAAACACAATGAGACAAAAGTTAATGTCATCCAAGTAAAGCCATTGCAGGGATGAGCTGAAGAGACATGAGAATGAGATGGGTTTCAACCACTAGACTGTTGAGGCTGGAGACTGATTTCAGTGGCAGTGTCTGTGGACTGCCAAAGAAAACCACATTCTTAAGCTGTGAAATACTGAAGGGATTCAGTATCTGAAGCTCTCCAAGTATTTCACTTTTGGTCACAGTATGGAAATCTCTGCTAAAATTGTTGATGGATGTCATTACTCTGAATTTTCTTAAAGCATATTTTATGACTGCTATTGAGAACTTTCGGTATCTTAATGTTTTCTGTATATTGAGCCTTCAGTAAATAATTAAATGGATCATTTATATAATTTTATTCTCAGTGAAAGATTTTTTTCCCCACTAAGTAGGACTGATCTGATACTGTAGCTTGCTGGATACAGCTTGAAGGGAAGTATTAGAGCCTGAGAAAACAATAATGTTTCAGTTGACCTTTCTAAAGACCAAGTAAGAGTTTAAAGAGAAACCACCCACTGTTCAGATTTATGAAGGTAAAATTTGAGTAATTAACAATAACAGTGTGTGATTCTTTATTAGTTAATGTACAATATATTTTCCACACTGACAATCATGTTACAATAGATGTAACTAAATACTAGAAGTTGTGGTAAATTTCTTATCTTAGGTACTCTGTTTGAAGTGCAGTGAAATGAGCTGAAACTTCATAAAACGATTTTCATTGAAATAGAGAAATTTCATTTCCTTTCATGAAAGGAATGAAACGAAAAATTAGCAAATGAGGTAAAGTGAAAAGACAAAGAAAGGAAATATAAGGAAATGAAATGAAATTGAAAAAATGAAAATTCTTAGGAGAAGTTAAATTTTTGAAATGGAATGGAATGAAGTACAGTGAAATGAACCAACATGTCAAGAAGTGATACTCACTGAAATGGGGAGATTTCATTTCCTTTCATGAAATGAAGAAATTTCATCATGGCAGGGTACTGAGTTTGCTCACTCTACGCTTTTGGAATCTGAGCCAGCCACGGTGATGGAGATCACAGCAGCAGTGAAAAGTTGCCATTATGGTTGAGGTTAGGGTTCAGAGAGCTGCAGAGCTCCAGGAAAACTGGGGCTGGAAAAGATATGCCAAGGTGATCCTGGAAGGGCACCAACTTTGCTGCTCCTACATCTTTCTAATCTGGACTTCCCATGTGATCAGAACCTCAGCCCCAGTGACAAGATAGCATTAAGCCTCTGGGGTTAAGAGAGGAAAAGAGCCTTGAGCTCCAGAGACACTGGGGCTAGAAAGTGCATGCCAAGAGGATTGTGGCAGGGGCACAACAGTGCTGCCTTCACACCTTGCAGATTTGGGCCATAAATGGGGATGGGCACCTCAGCTGCAGCCCCAAGCTTGCTAAAAGGTTAGTTTGAAAAAAACAAAATTCTGAAATTAAGTGAAAATAATGGAATGGAATGACTGAAACTTTGTGAAATGATACTCATTGAAATTGTGAGATTTCATTTCCCTTCATGAAATGATAAATTTTCATTAATAGATCAAAAAGTCAAGACCTGGCAATGTGATGCTGTGATGCCCTTGCAAGTGAAGCCCTTTTTGAGTGTCAGTGTCCGTGGAGCTGTAGGCTGAATTAGCAATCTAAAACTAGTATTTTTTTTGAACTGTTGGTGGTAACTTTTTCTTATAGCCTGTCATTGGCTTTGTGAGTATGGCTCTGTGAAGTTAGTGTGCTGCAGTCCTATTTGCTCATCTTTTAAATATAACTATTTTTTGTACTTACTGCAGCACTTTTTCAAAATTCACACCCTGCTACAGAATTTAAGTGTTGTAACTGTCAGTCTGAGTAGCATCAGGTTATTTACAATTTTGTTATATTTTTAAAAAAAATTGAAAGTCTATTCTTGGTCTGTTCTGATGTTGTCACAACCAGTAAATTTATTACAGTGTAGATGGAAAGATTGATGCTGGACCTTTGTCTCCTATTACAGGCAATGGGACGATGGTTAGAATTAGGATTTGAACAATTAGTTGTTCATTGAGTAAAAGAACTGCAGACTAAGAAATAGGAGAAGGAGAAAGTGGAAAGGACAGAAGTATAAGAAGGGATGAGCAGGGTATATAATTAATGAAGATTTTAAATTAACTATTTGGTAAGAACATTCATGATCCTGTCATGCAAAGGGAAATTACAGGTGTGATAAGTACCATGATAACCTCAGAGCCAGTTAATTTGTCCTAAGGATGTTTCACTGATTTTGTGCATTAATAGAAAAATACATATAATGATTTAGCTAAAATACTACTTTTAGTAGCAAAATTGCAAATGCAAGAGCCATGCATTGCAAGGCCTTGCAAATGCAAGGCAAATGTAGAAGCCTCAGTTAACTTCTCTCCCAGCACCTGGTGTGTCAAGACTGTTGGGAGGCATTTCAGCATCTCCTTCATGCTGGTGAATGGATCCCCTCTCACCCTGTGTTTTGAGGCAGTCATGAGTTCTGTAGCAGTGCCTACTGACTTACCAGTGTAGGGGCTTCTGCTGCTATGCTGCATCCCATGGAGGAAAGAAACTGCAGGATGGCAACAGATCTGCTCTACAGCTGTGTGACCTTCCTCCTTTTTCAGCTCCCAGAAGAAACTAGGTTTGTTTTGAATGTATCTAACTTCATGCAGAAGAGTTGGGCCTTATGCTATCAAGACTATTTTTTATCACAGTGATTACATCAGTCAGGAGATCAGTATTCACAAGCATACCCTTTTTGCTCGTGCTCTGCAATAACATTGGTCTCCTGCTGCTGTTTCCTGCTAGAATACTGCATCAGCTAAGTGAAATGGTTACACAACCACTATACTGTGCTAAACCACCCAGAAAGAGCAGCTTTTAAGAATACATTTATCCTTGGCTTATATAAACAACCTTCAGGTCAAGAACAGATTTTGACTGTCTAATATCCGGAGGTAAGAGATGAGAAAAATCTGGCTATGATGGTGGAAGATTTCACAAACTGATATTTGACATGCAAACATCTCAGTTTTTGTCAGTCTATGTCACCACAGTTAAGGAGCGTTGTGGTTTCTCACGAAGGAAAAAAGGGTGGGGTGAGGCTGGAACTGTCGCAGAGAATGGGAATGCCTCTTCCTGCTGCTGCTTAGGGCTGGCAGTGGGTGCCCCTTTGGGGTTAGCCTGGTGCTTGCACATGTCCATGTCCCTGCCTCGGTGGCAGCAAAAGCGGGATGAGAGGCAGGAGGGAGAAGCTCCCAGCTGATCTCCGTTTTCCTATGCCGCAGGCAAGTGCTGAGTTCCACTTGCCTGATGAACAAGGCTGCCTTGCCTGAAGCTCTGACCTGGCTCAGCATTCCATTTATCCAGCTCAAACATAAAGAATGTTCTTTTCTTGCTCTCGCCTGACCAGATTAGTATTGAAGAAAAAATTGTAACACATTAAATCTGAAGAGGTAATTAAATCGATTTTTAGTACAAATGAGAAGGCACGTCATTAGCAACAGACTTGGCATGAAGTGCTGCCTGGCCCTGGACCTTTTTCCTGGCATTTCCTTGCATTTTCCAACAGTGTTTGCGCTCCCTCTTGTGGCTTGCTCAGCCCGGTGCCTGCCGAGAAGGCCTGGCCTTCTATAAAAATTGTTTTCCTTAGATGTTTCCTCTGCATATGGAAAGATTCACTGTTCCATGTCTATTGTATTTTTTTTAATATTGCATATACTTCTTTGAAAAATTATAGGAAATAGATATCTGTAACTAATAGAAAATCTGGCCTGTCATAGTGATAATTGGAGGACCTTATGTCTTTGCATATTCTGGAGAATCTGGCCAGATAAACTGATTATATAGATTGTGTAGGCATGGTGCTGGAGCACCATATTAAAGGGCTTCTAAATAAATTTTTAGCCTTGCTGAAACTTTCTCCAGGGGAAGGTAAAATTCAATCTGTTACTTCTCAAAAGATAAGTTCTATGGGGGAATAAAGTGTATGTGTATTGATTAGCCATGCTGGTTTTCACCACTCCATAGATAAATGATTGAGATTGAGACCAGGATATAGCATAGAATTATCAAACCTTATTTAATAGGCTTTCTGCCACCTCCTTTTTTATCTGTATTAATTGAAATTCTGTTATATTGGTGAGCTTTCAGGTGTAACAAAAATGGGAATTTGTTTCTGTGATGAACAGCATGGGTGAGGGCATTGAGTCCTTCATTAGTAAATTTGCAGATGACACTAAGCTGGTTGTGTTGATCTGTTGGAAGGGAGGAGGGCTCTGCAGAGACACCTGGAACTGTTGGATGGGCGGGCAGAGTCCAACAAGATGAAGTTTAGTAAGTCCAAGTGCTGAGTCCTGCATTTTGGCCACAATAACCCCCTGCAGTGTTATAGGCTGGGGATGGTGTGGCTGGACAGTGCCCAGGCAGAAAGGGACCTGGGGGTGCTGGTGACAGCAGCTGAACACGAGCCAGCAGTGTGTCCTGGTGGCCAAGAAGGCCAGTGGCTCCTGGCCTGGATCAGGAATGGTGTGGCCATCAGGAGCAGGGAGGTCATTCTTCCCCTGCACTCGGCACTGGTGAGGCCACAGCTGGAGTTCTGTGTCCAGTCCTGGCCCCTCAGTTTGGGAAGGACATTGAGACACTTGAGCGGGTCCAGAGGAGGCAACGAGGCTGGTGAGGGGCTTGGGAACACAAGTCCTGTGAGGAATGGCTGAGGGAGCTGGAGTTGTTTAGCCTGGAGAAAAGGAGACTCAGAGGTGACCTCATCACTCTCTACAACTCCCTGAAAGGTGTTTGTGGTCAGGTGAGGGTTGGTCTCTTTCTCCAGGCAGCAGCTGACTGAACGAGAGGATACAGCCTCAAGCTGTGCATCAAGGGAATCATAGGTTGGATATTAGGAAAAGGTTTTTTACAGAAAGTACTGGAATGATCTGCCTGGGGAGGTGGTGGAGTCACCATCCCTGGATGTGTTTGAAAAACAGACTGGATATGGCACTCGGTGCCATGGTTTAGTTGAGGTGTTAGGGCATAGGTTGGACTCTGTGATCTTGAAGGTCTCTTCCAACTTGGTCATTCTTTGATCTGAGAGTAATGAGAAAATACTCTTCACATATCCTACTGTCTTCATGGTTTAGTTGACTTGCAACAATATGCCCCAAATACACTGTGCCTTTCATTTGATTTTCTGTGTTGGTGTGAGCTGAGTATTGAGTACATGGCATGGGCCATGACAGATATCTAGAACAGTGTCAGTGCAAATTTCATCTGCAATTACTCTTTTCTAAGGCGTGCTGAAGCCTTCAGTAAGAGGCCCTTACACAACTAAGCAGTTTTTCTTTTCCTTGTGCCAAATACA